TGGGGGAAAGCTGCCTCAGTAGGCGTTGGGTATAGAGAGACCCTATGGGGAAGCTGCCTCAGGTGTTGCTTTCTATGCAAGAAGGATGCAGGAGGGGAGCGGGCTGTGTGGAGTCCAGGAGGCGTGCCAGTCGGCTAGGAGGCCTTACTTAGGCTCTCATTCATGTCTGTCAGAACTGGCTGGTAGCAGTGAAAACAGAATCGCTCTGAGCCAAGTGGTACACTAGACATGCTGAGGCAGGAGGGGCTCAAGCTCCAGGCCATCCTGGGCTACAATAAGACCCCATCTCAGAAGCCAAAAGAAGCCAAGTACCAAAAGCCTATGTAAGATGCAAGCTGAAGAAAGAGACGTCCCATATACTTCATCACAACCAACTTTGGCTATGATTGGCTTTTTTTCATAAAGTAGGCAACAAGCTATGTTTTGGTTTTGGGTTGAGACAGGGTCTCACTATGTAGCACACTCTGGCCTCAGATTTACAGAGCTCTGCCTGACCCTGCTTCCCAAATGCTAGAGGTGAAGCTCAAATGCCATAGTGACACTCAGATAATAGGCTATGTTTGACAGAAAAAAATGATTTTAATGTGTGTGGATGTTTTGCCTTCGTGTATGTCTGTGTACCAATGTATGCTGGTCCCCAAGAAGGCCAGAAGGGGGCGTCAGATCTCATGGAGGTGTAGTCACAGATAGCTGTGAGCCTCCGTGTGGATGCTGGGAACTGAACCCAGGTCCTCCAAAAGAACAGCCAGTGCTCTTAGCCCAATGAGCTGTCTCCAGCTATGTATGCACCCCTCCCCCAGTAAGCTATTTTTAACAGGATGCCTAGAGGGTGTTTTGAGCTAAGAATGAAAGGTCTGTCCTCTGTGCCTACTATTACTTTATTACAGAGGTTGCTCAAAGTCCTGTGCCCCCCAGCGTGGTCAGTGTGAAAACAGACAGAGAGGATCCAAGTGGACTGCTGAAGAACTTCCAGGATATCATGCGAAAGCAAAGGCCGGAAAGAGTGTCTCATCTTCTTCAGGATAACTTGCCAAAGTGTGAGTCTTGTCGTGTGTGAGTTTGTATGTCAGGTTTAACGTGAGGGTATATGGTGAGGCAAGGGTTGAAACCCATGGCCCTCGCTTGAGTACTGTTGGGCTTAGTGGCAGTGAGTGCTGCTGCTCGCAAGCCTTCAGTCTTTCATTACCTATGCACTGGACAGTATGCCAGACATTGCCACATGTCATTCCAGTCCTGGATACAGTGCCCTGAAATGACCAAAATGAGGTTTAACCCAGGCCTGTCCTTCAAAACAAAACAAAACAACCACTCTTTTGTTTGTCTCTACTTTAGCTGTTTCCACTTTTCAATATGATCGTTTCTTTGAGAAGAAAATTGACGAGAAAAAAAATGACCATACCTACCGAGTTTTTAAAACGGTGAACCGGAGAGCACAAATCTTCCCCATGGCAGATGACTACACGGACTCCCTCGTCACCAAAAAGCAGGTGTCGGTGTGGTGCAGTAACGACTACCTGGGCATGAGTCGGCACCCACGGGTGTGCGGGGCCGTCATGTAAGTAGCTGTCAGTCTTCACATACCACAGGCGTTATTCTGCAAGACACAGATGGTATACAGCTAGACCTTTTATGGGAGAGCATTTTTAGTCGCTGAAAGTGTGCCACAGTGATACAGTACTATTCTTTGTAGAACCAGCTTTCTCCCTCAACCTTTACAGGAATTGTGGGATTGAACTCAGGTCACCAAGCTTTACAGCAGAGCCCCTTTACCTGCCGAACTATCTCACTGGCGTGGTAGTCTTAGCCTTTGAAAATCTCTGCAGATGATATCTGGGGCAGAGGGTGCCTCAAAAAAACAAATCAAAACAAAACAAAAAACAACAACAACAAAGATGAGAAGGCTGTGGAGGAAAACCTAATGCTGACCCATGGTCCTCCAACCATTCATCCACCCAGCCCACACTCACGTACATAACACACAGGGATACACAGCGCTCACTCTCTCTCGTTCTCTCTCTCGTTCTCTCTCTCTCTCTCTCTCTTCCTCTTTCTCTGTCTCTCTTGCGTGCACATACACATAAACACTTTGGGGCTGGGGATGTAGCTCAGTTACTTCTAAAAAAACCCTGCTCTTTTAGAGACACTGATGTGTGGAGGGTGGATAGGGCTATTTCAGTAGGACGTGTTAAAGGCATGAAGGTCCCATCCTTGGTCTTCAGGAGCACCGCCATAGCTTGAGACAGTTGCCTGTCGACCTCTCCAAGAGGCTTGCTAAAGAGAACCCCACATGGGGCGGAGCATAAGGTTGTTTGTGGCCTGATGTTGTGTAACTGCTTTGCAGCCTTCTAGAGTCTGCTTTTTCTTAACAGGATATGTTGCCTGCATGTCTGCCACGGGTGTGGAGGTCAGAGAGAGTGTTGGATTCTCTGGAAATAGAAACTGAACCTGGGTCCTCTGGAAGAGCAGGCTACGCTCTTAACCACAGAGCCCTTGCTCCATCCCCTAAACAATTGTTAGCCATTCCTTTAAGATTTATGGCCCTAGGTTTCACAGTGAGAGACATACTAGATAAGATCGACATGACGCTCATCTCATTCTCCTGATTCTGGAAAGAGAACTCATTTATATGGTGGTTAGAACCATGAGTTTCTCAAAAAACCAAAAAAACCAAAAACAAAAAACCATGAGTTTCAAAAATAATTTTTTAAATAAAATAAAAAATAAGCTGGGCATAGTGATGCATGCCTTAATCCCAGCACTGAGGGGCCAGAGGCAGGAGAATCTCTGAGTTTAAGGCCACCCTAGTCTGCATAGTGAGTTCCAGGACAGCCAGGGCTACATCATGAGACCCTGTTTCAAAAAACTAAAAAAAAAAATAGAACTGTGAGTTTTCTTGCTTGCTTTGCTTGCTTGAGACATGGTTGTAGGTTGTTTGTTTGATTGGTTTTGTGTGTGTGTGTGCTAGGATTACAGGTACATATTCCATGCCTGTGTATGCAGTACTAGGAGTTGAACTGAACTCAGAGCATTGTGTATAGTAAGCAAGTACTCTATCCGCTGAGCTACATCTTCAGCCAAAAATGTATGTGTGAGTGTGTGTGTATGAGTGTGTGTGTGTGTATGTTTGTATATGAGTATGTGTGGGTTTATATATGAACGTGTGTTTGTATATGTGTATGTGTTTTGTTTGTGTGAGTGTGCGTGTGTATGTGTATGAGTGTGTGTGTGTGTGCATGTGTGTATGTGTGGTGTGTGTATGTGTGTATGTATTGTGTATTGTGTATTATGTACTTGTAAGTATGACATGGGGTAAGGTGAGTGTGTGCCCTGAGGTCAGCGTTAGATTTTTCCTCCACAGCCTTTCCATCTTAATTTTTTGACACTCTGCCCCAGTGCTGGGTTGTAAAACTGAAAGCTCTGGGTTTTTAATGAGTTCTGGAGATGTGAACCCTGGAGTTTTGGTATTTTACTTGTTTTTAACAGAGACACTGTGAAACAGCATGGTGCCGGAGCTGGTGGAACTAGGAATATTTCTGGAACGAGCAAGTTCCACGTAGAGCTGGAGCAGTCGCTGGCCGACCTCCATGGCAAAGATGCGGCTCTCTTGTTCTCTTCCTGCTTTGTGGCTAACGACTCCACCCTCTTCACCCTGGCTAAGATGATGCCAGGTAAGTGCTGCCGGGACCTAGCACATTTGAGGTTCTGCATAATGACAAGGAGGGTGTCTACAAAGACAGCCCACTCTAGCTCAGCCCACTGGCCCCGTGTCAGAGCATTGTTGGAGTGCAAGGCACTGACTGTGTGTTGTGAGTTCCAGCAGAGCATGGTCCATAGTGACTGACATGGTCCTCCACATGGGAGGACCTGTCCTGAAGTTCCTGACTCAGGATTTTGTATTCTAAGACATTCCTCTAACAAAATGCTTCATTGCATTTAGACATGTGTGTCTTCATAGCTTTTGAGGTGAGGTACCCATATTTACCACTATTACCCATGATGAAAGGCTGTTTTTGTTTTTGGAGAGTCTCACTGTCTACCTAGGCGGGCCTCAAACTCTTGATCCTCCTGCCTCAGAATGCTGGGCTGTCAGGCATGTGACCTTGTGGCTTTAAAGATAGTTCTCCATGGTTGTTGGTTTTTGTGTTTCATGATGCTGAGATGGAACCCAGGGCCTCAGCGCATGTGCATCTCGTGCTTTGCCATTGAGCATCTTCTAGCAGCCACTGGGTGCCTCTGCCTTTGTTTGTGTCTTCCCAGAGGAGAAGCATGAGCTAGTTACTGTGTCAGAACACGGTGTTCTCGTAGTGGACATTTCTGAGGTATTTTCAGCAGGAAAAGCTCTGTTGCGTGGCCCAGGACTTCATTTGTCTTGATGCTTCTGTCACTGAGTAGCACTTTTCTCATGTCAGGCTGTGAAATTTACTCTGATTCCGGGAACCATGCCTCCATGATCCAAGGGATTCGCAACAGTCGAGTGCCAAAGTATATCTTCCGCCACAATGATGTCAGCCATCTCAGAGAACTCCTGCAGAGGTCTGACCCCTCCGTCCCCAAGATAGTAGCATTTGAAACTGTCCATTCAATGGATGGTAAGTATGTGCTGAGGCTAATCTGAAGCCTGAGATGCAGGACTAGGCTTGAACTGTTGAAAAAAGTATTGTGCATGGGCCCTGGGGACATAGCTGGTTGACAAGCCTCTGCTTAACTGTGTATGAGGTCCTGTACTCAACTCCAGACACAAACAGAAATATTGTGTTTCCTTTGGTTTGCATTTCTTTCATGCTTGGCCTCTGTAATTGAGAGATGTTATACTGATGGATAACTGGGTTTTCTGCTCTGGCTGTTGTTAGATTGTATAACCTCATGGGGTAAGAACTAGGGGGAGTTCACTTTTTCTCCAGTACTAAAATTGACCCCTTAGACTGTATGGCACTCTGCTTTGGCTCCAGCTGTTGTTACTGACATTTTCCTTGGCTTTCCTCAGGCGCAGTGTGCCCACTGGAAGAGCTGTGTGATGTGGCCCATGAGTTTGGGGCAATCACGTTTGTGGATGAGGTCCATGCAGTGGGGCTGTATGGGGCTCGAGGTGGAGGGATTGGTGATCGGGATGGAGTCATGCCAAAAATGGACATCATTTCTGGGACGCTTGGTATGTATGCAGGCTTTGTAACTCTGTCAACTCTGTCCTTTGACACTGAACTTCGGGTATATACCCGAAGAGACCAATGACTGGCTGGTCTAACTGGCACCAGGACCAGAAGCAGAGAGGTAGCTGTAAAGCCTGGGCTGTTTCTCTTTGTGGTGAATTTTGTTTTCTTGAGTCAGGGTCTCAGCCTGTACCCCAGGCTGGCCTTGTTTCAGGTTCTCCTGTGCTGGGTTTGCAAATGTGTGCCACCACTTCCATCTTGCAGTGAAGTTTTCCATCTGAGTGAATGCTAGCCCAGCTTTGCGAAATCCCCCGGGACATGGAGGCTTACAAACTCCCACAGCTAAATATGACAGAAATTACATTTCTTGTCATCTGAGGTCATTCCAACCATACTTGACTCTTATTGTAATGCTGGATTCAGAAGGAGGACTCCAGTGCTCTTCTACAGGGCATTGGGAAATGCTGTGCTCTGTATCTCGCACATGGAACATTTCAGCTCTCCAGCCGTCCCCTCTCCCCATGCTGGCACCCTGGAGCCTGGACTTCAGTCCTGGCTGCACAGCTCACAGGTTGTGTGGCCTTACCTTATGAGCTGACCTTCTTGTGCTTGTTCTCCCCATCTCTATGGTGAAGATAGCAATAGGGTCTGTATCAGGATTCCTGCAGAGAAGTTGAATGATCTGTCTGCCTGTGGGAATGAATCATGAAGAGGTAGAAATCCCTTTTAATCCCAGCACTTGGGAGGCAGAGGCAGGCGGATTTCTGAGTTCGAGGCCAGCCTGGTCTACAGAGTGAGTTCCAGGACAGCCCGGGCTATAAGAGAAACCCTGTCTCGAAAAAACCAAAAAAAAAAAAAAAAGCATCCAGAAGTTCATAAGGCAGTAATAAGCCTGTGTAGCAGTCAGCAGAATGCCAAGCTAAACCTACGTTTAGTCAAGGATCAGCAGACAAAACCCAGCATCTTCCAGCCCTGTCAAGGGAGTGAGAGGTCTGCCTCCCACAGACCCTGAGATGCCAGGGAAAAGCCACCTCGCTATTCAAGTGGCAAATTCCAGTTTGTGATGTAGGCTTGTTGGAGGTCAGAGACAGTGAGCTGGAGAGTGCTAGGCAGAGTAATTTTCCACTCTAGGAGTTTGAGCCTACCTAATACTATCATGGTTCAGCAAAAAATGTTCACTTCAGAACACAAAGCTAAGGTTCCTGAGAACCCTTCTAGAGTCCTTAATCCTGAAACTTGAGATACAGATTACACAAGAGCCTTGACCAGAACTGAAAAACAGTCCTGGCCCCGTCAGCCCTAACAGGTTCTGAGTATTTGTATTCATCCAGCAAATGCTAATTGTCCAGAATCTCTTGTTTGCTTGAGTAGCAAGTAAGGCCTCAGTACTGCAGTTGATGTCTTAGCTGGGCGACTGCCACAAAGTCGGTGCCTGGAGGCCGTGCGGTGCTGCTCATGTGAGGCCAGCCTAACAGAAGTTCTCCTCCCAGGTAAAGCATTTGGCTGCGTTGGAGGATACATTGCCAGCACAAGTTTGTTGATCGACACCGTCCGGTCCTATGCCGCGGGCTTCATCTTCACCACCTCGCTGCCACCAATGCTGCTGGCTGGAGCCCTGGAGTCTGTGAGGATCCTGAAGAGCAGTGAGGGGCGTGCCCTTCGCCGCCAGCATCAACGCAATGTCAAGCTTATGAGGCAGATGCTAATGGATGCTGGCCTCCCAGTCATCCACTGTCCCAGTCACATCATCCCTGTGCGGGTAATGGCCTGTTGGTGATTGGACTGAAAGAGGCTATGTCTCCACACATGACATGACAGTGTTCTGTTTCTACCTTCCTGAAGACAGAAGGGTGTCCACAAGGGGTTGAGTAGGGTGATTGCAGGGTGGGAACTGGTGTTCGGACTGTAGCCAGTGGCCCTTTGCCATGTCTCTCTGTCGTCAGCTGCCTGGCCTGACTTCACAATAAGAATGAAGTCTTTGAACCCAGCAGGCTCAAGCCCACCGTCCCTCCCCAGAGCACTGACCTTAGCAGGGTAAACAAGAACATGTGTGCAGCAAACTCGAGGAGCCTAAGCCTGGGCAGCTTTGAAGTGTGACTTTCTACTTAGTAAATCTCAAAGTCGGTCTTGCCCTTTCCTCTACAAACCATGTCTCTGTTGATGCTGCAGTTAATATAAGGAAGTAGTAGCTGGTATAACCAGAGCTGGGCAGTACCTCCTGGGAACAAGGATGTGTGAAAAATAGAAGTCACCTCCTTTACCATGTAAGGTCTGGAGGACAGCTGTGTGATGATTCTGGTATAGCAGCTCACCGTGCAAGTGTCAGCTCCCTTAAATTACAGGTGTTCAGGGAGCATTTCCCCGTCCCCAAGGCTTACACACTTAGCTACAGTCTGGCCTGGAGCCTGAGCCTTGTTCATGAACATGGTGTTCTTAACGGTCTCTGCAAAATTAACATGCCTCATTCTGACCTTGTTCTTGCTATGATGGGTCATAGGTTGCCGATGCTGCTAAAAACACAGAAATCTGTGATGAGTTGATGACCAGGCATAATATCTACGTCCAGGCCATTAATTACCCGACAGTGCCTCGTGGGGAGGAGCTTCTGCGGATCGCCCCCACCCCACATCACACCCCACAGATGATGAACTTCTTCCTGGGTGAGTTCACGCAGAGTGACGGGAATCTACCTCACTGTGAGCACACTCCAGGGAGCCCACGTGAAAGCTCATGCAAAGTTCTTGGTGGTATTTACCCTAATGCATTCAGACAAGATTGGTTTCTTCTTGTTCCAAGTGTCTGACTGTGCCCTCAGATGCCACCCAATGAAACTCTAAGATTAGACAGTAGCGACTCACTTTAAGAGTGTGCAAGATGCATTTGGAAGCACACAGGAAACTTGCTGCCCCCATCTCCTCTCTCCTGTCTCCTGCATGCACAGTTGTGGCTGTTGAAGGGGCCAGAAGCCTCTGACAGCACAAGTCTGTCACTGGCCACTAGGATCCAGTGAACGCTTCCCAGATCTGCTCTTCCTTCCAGACATGTGGTCCTCCAAGTTAATCTGTTCTGGTAACTGTACTGCCTCCCCCACTCCCCATGTCCATTCCAAAGGCAGAGCTTGGGGGAATTTTAGCTGTAGGTTGTCATGGCCACAGAGGAACTTTGCCCTCTTGGGCCCTCTCAAGTCAGTATAACTTCCAAGGACAGATTTTATGTTCAAGATGCTCAGAATATTTCTGTTTGATTTTGGTGTTGGGGTTGAACTTGTGGTCTTGGCACACTGCATGCATACTTCACCCCAGAGGTCCACTCCCCCAGATTTCCCAACCCCCACACCCCAGATATTCAGGTTAGTGAACTGATATTGCAGCAGCTAACTGAAGCTGGTTTGTGAAGTGAGACCCAACTCTTAGAACAGTGTCCTTGAGATAATTGACATACCATAAAATTTACCCTCCTAAAATAGAGGATTAAAGGGGGTTTAGATACATGCACCTTGGTGAGAGGCCGTCACCTCTGCTGTGCCCTCACTAGCATCAGTTCCTTCTGCCTAGTCCCTCCCACCCCGGGTGCTCTCATTCTCTGGTGTTTGGTGTGTTGGACCATGTGAGTGACATGTGTCACTACTGCTTATTCTACTTACATTCTTTAAGACAGTCTAATTGCGTCTGCAGCCTAAGCTGGCCCAGAGCTCACCAATGCCCTCTCACCCTCCTGAGTGCCAGCTCTGTTCTTTCCATCGCCACAGAATCCTCCACATGCGCATTGATTGGCTCATTGCCTATGTGCATCAGTGGATGGGCGTTTGGGTTGCTTCCATTGTCGAAGTCTTAGGAATGGGTGCTTCTGAAGCATTTGTGTGCAGATTTTTGTGTGGATACACACTCTGATTCTCTTGGGCAGAAGATCCTGTAATGTTTAAAAAAACAAACAAACCTGTCTCTCCCCACAGAGAAGCTCTTGGTCACATGGAAGCGAGTTGGGCTGGAACTGAAGCCACATTCATCAGCTGAATGCAACTTCTGCAGAAGGCCCTTGCACTTTGAAGTGATGAGCGAAAGAGAGAAAGCCTATTTCTCAGGCATGAGCAAGATGGTGTCTGTCCAGGCCTGACTGTGACTCGGTTATTCACAAACCCCAGGCCATTACCATACCCAAATAGTAGCCAGAATTGTCTTTATATGTGAAATAAATTATATATTAAATCTTAATCTATAGTAAAATCAGATTGTAGTGTGTTAGGTGTTTCTGCTAATTGACCACTGAACAAAGAGCTAACGCTCATGTGGCCTGTCGTATGGCTATATAAATTGTAATGCCTGCCAGGCCTTGTGCTCTGCTTAAATCTGACCTGGCAGACCCAGCTGACACCCCAGAAACCACAAGCAGTGACACCACCTGCTGCGGGCTTCCCTTCACACTCCTGCCTCAGACCCAGAAGGGGCAGTCAGTGTGCCCACAGTCCTTTCGCAGCTTTTCTGCTTTCCCTCAGCCACTGCCTCCACCTCACACTCCCCACTGCAAGTCAAGCCTGCGAGTTTGGCAGCCAGCTAGCGCCTGACTCATTGTAATGTCCTCCGCAAAGGATACAGAGGGCTCTGTGCCCCTCCTCCACCCTCTGCACTTGTATCTGGGTCTTGCTCTTCTTACACAATCTAAAAATGCCCCTCGTCAAGAGTTTCTCCCCTCTGTTGACCGTTTCTCTCACAGGCCTGCAGCAGGTATCACCTTTCTGACCAATAGCCAAGTTGCCACCCAGGCTAGACGCTCACAGCTACAGCTATGTCTGTCTATCACCCAGGCTAGAACCCTCACAGCTACAGCTGTCTCTGTCCTGCCTTTGCACAGTCCTGGCTGGTCAACCTGTCAGCCCTGTTCCCTGTGGAGGTTGCTTTTGGCTTGCCACATTTTGCCTGTCTTGTCAAACCCAGCCACTGGCTCTGTTGCTTCTCCTTAGACCCTTCAGGGGTATCTGAGTGGTGGGCCTTGGGCTTTTTACAGCTTTCCCATCTGAGTCTAAGCTGTGCCAATCGCTGCTCCCAGGAGTGTTCCTCCTGAGCTGGGTGCTTCTCTGAGTGTTGATGGCCCTGCTTCACCCACTGCATCACCTCACATACTCCGAGGTCTTCCCTCGTCCACATGGTGTAGAAAGCACCCTGCCCCACCAACCCCATTTTGCACCTGGCCCTCATGTTACTGGCCCAGGCTATCCAGCCTCTCATCTAGAGTCAGCCCTGTGTTCTCTTACATAAATAGCAATAAAGCCTTTCAGGCCAGGCCATGCTACACTCATCTGCCTTTGCCTCCACCCCAACAGCAGTCTGAGCAGTCTTAGAAAAACACAAATCGTGGCTATGGATGAAGGCTGGCTGGCAGAGTGCTTTCCTAGTATACACAAACTTGTCTCAAAAAAAGACAAGCACTGTGTTTCATACAGAGACCTCTTGAGTCTTGTAATTGTGCTACGTTCAGACTCCTCATGCCAACGGATGGGGCTCCTGGCAAACTCGCTCCATTAGTCATTCCAGCCTTTCATGTTCACTCTGCTTTGTCACTGGACTTCACTTCTATGCCTGAGTTCTCTCTACTAGTCTTCTGCCTCAGTCTTTCTGCTCTGGGTCATAGTATAGCCACTCTTAATTCAAGACAAGTTTTCATGCAGTGGTGATACATGCAGTTGATTTCAGCACTTGGAGGCAGAGGCAGGCAGATCTCCGTAAGTTCCAGGCCAGCCAGGACTATGGAGAGAAACTCTGTCTCAAAATTTTTTTCCTTAGGACTCCTCCCCAGACATGCTAGCCCAGGTACCCGCTCTGTTGGTAAAATTCCTTCCTTTGGGAAAATGTAAACATCCCACCTCTCCTTCTATAGTCCCAGTGACAAACTGGGGAATCAGTGAGGTCATCAGGCTTCCTTACAGAGCTATGGGTGAGGGTTTATGGCCAGGAGTGTCAGTGACAGCACAGGCACACTGGGAAGTTGACACCCAGCTAGGGCGATGGATCCCCTAGGCCTGTGAAGATGGAGTCCCCTCCCCTTGTCCTTCCCCACCTGCATGCTTTAGCCCTTCAGATACCCCAGGCCATGTACAATTAGGATAGAATTATATACCACAGGTTGGGAAGGGTGCCTGGATACTTAGATGAGAGTCCCATGAGCCTCCCCACACCCTCTTTCCAAGAGTCAACAAGCCTAGCCATGATGCTCTCTGACCAGGAGGCCCAGCTGACCTGAAGATGGCCACAGCGTCTGACACCTCCAAGCTTTTCTCTGCCTCCTACCTTGGTGCCCTTCCACATCCTGGTCTCTAACTGAGGGTGCTTCCTCCCTGTTGTAACGTGGCTTTGAGGGTAGATGCCTTATCTTTTCCACCTTATCCCCTCCAAGTCCAGCACAATTCAGTTGATGCTGATAAAACACATGCTGATTGAACGGAAGGGGGTCCCAATGACATCCAAATCCCATAGGCAGAGTAGGTGCTCTGAGGAAAGGCCAGGCTGCTGGAGGTGAGAGTTCCAGCTAGGAGGTCTGTCTCGCAGCTGCAGATGGAACACTGTATGTCCTAACTTGGCAGCTAAGGCTGTGCTTCCTGGTCATGTCCCCTTGCTTCACAGTACCGTGTGGCGCATGGCAGCATCATGGTCCTATCAGATAAAGGCATCACATCCTGGCGGGCCACCGGCTGTGACAGAAGTCACATCACCTCAGAACCACATTATTATCCCTTCTTGACTGGCTTTCCCAGCTTTGCTGCCTCACTCCGGCTTCCAGAGCTGTCCATTGTCCCTCACATTCCCACGCCTAGAACACCCTCCACCACCTTTCCTTTGAGTGGGATTGTTTGCCTCTGGCGGGGCAATGTCTGAATGCTTGGGCAGACCCACTCTTCCTTCATAAGACTGAGCTGGCAGGGTGAACACAGTCTGCAGGTGTATTTTCCCCTCCCAGTTTCTTGGGGTTGTGGGTGCACAGGATGGAAGGATCTTCAGGTAGCAGATGAGACATGGGGCTGTTAAAAAACATGACAAGAACATTTCTAAGCCAGTCTAGTGTGGAACTGTATGAAGCCATAAGTTTCATTTTCAGGACACAGAATGCCAAGAGGAGAAAGACTGAGTTGTTAAAACCTCAGTAGATCAGCAGGGGGCGTAGCTCAGTAAAATATATGTCTTGCAAGCAGGAGGACCTGATTTGACCCCAACTCGCTAAAAATGTCATGTATGATCGTGCATTCCCATAATCTCAGTGCAGAAACTGGAGGACCCATGGAACTCAGTGGCTAGCCATTCTAGCTTAATTAGTGACCTTTAGGCCAAGAAGAGACTGTGACTCAAAGGAGATGGACAGCATTCCTGAGGATGGCACTTGGGTTGTACTCTAGCCTCCATCCACACCAACATGTGACCCCTCATATTCGCACACACACACAGACCGTTCAGAGTTACGTGTGAGATGGACACATTGTACTCGGAACTGCCAGAGAACAGCCTTGCAGTCCTCGGAGCGAAACAAACCCTAGGCTGGAGCCTGCCTCCTACTTCTGCTTCTGGCTGTGGTTGAAACAATCTCAGAGTCCCCCACCGGGGACTCTACCAGGCTTTCAGGCTGCAGAGGAATGCTCTTATTTTGTTTCATGTTTTCTCCAGGCCACCCAGGTCAGAGCTTGCATGGGACATCCTAAGTCAGGGACTGTATTGTCTTTTATTTAAGTAGTGGGGCTTCATAGCAGAAGACTCTGTGCTTGAGTCAGAAAGAAGATACAGCTCAGTAGCAAAGGTTCAGACAACAATAACACACACACACACACACACACACACACACACACACGGAGCAGTAAAAGAGGAAGGGGCTATACTTCCTTCATGGCTATACCCTGGATGTATAGGGAAGTGGAACAGGGCAGTCAGGTTGCAAAATCAGCAGTTTCTTTGTGGCTAGCTCCAAAACTCTCTCCCATCCCCCCACACCACACCACCCTCTCAGTGGCTGGCCACTGGCCTAAGCCAGCCAAACTAGCTCAGTTCTTCTCCAAGGCCTCCAGACCCCAATGCTATGAGGCTGTGTGTTTTCTCTCCTCTGCTTCTCAAGGGCTGGATTTGGTGTGGTGGTGTTGAAGACACCTGGGATCAGGTTCCTGAAGGTTCCAAGCACAACACTACCCACAAGTTCAATATACTTGTTGACTACAGATCCTGTCCACTGATACTGGCTGCATTCTGAAGTCTACACTGTGCAGAAAAAAAAAATTAGAAACACAGAACTGGGAGTGGTGAGCTACACCTTAATCCCAGCACTCAGTAGGCAGAGGCAGGTGATCTCTGTGAGTTAGAGGCCTTCTTGGTCTAGGTAGCAAGTTCCAGATCAGCCAGAGCTACGACATGAGATCTTGTCTGAAAAAGACAGAGAGAAAGAAAGGAAGAAAGAAAGAAAGGAAGAAAGAAAGAAAGGAAGGAAGGAAGGAAGGAAGGAAGGAAGAAAGAAAGAAAGAAAGAAAGAAAGAAAGAAAGAAAGAAAGAAAGAGGGAGGAAACCCCACAGGCAATGAGACAGCTCAGTGGTAAAGCCCCTACAATAAATAAGCAAACAAACATAATAAAAATGGTTTAGGGGCTAGTTAAAAGACCCATCTGGTTAAGACCCTTGCCTATGTTAACACAAAAACACAAGTCTTGACTTGAAGAAGAATAAAAGGTAGTTTATTCTGCAGCCAAATACAAATGACCGTAGTCCAGGAACACAGATTTAGATTACTTCAAACTTTGTGTTCCAATGTGGTGACAATTTGATAAAGGATTTTTTTTTTTGTAGTAACAGAACAACAATAACAGTAGAATCCTGGAATGGTGGCACACACCTTTAATTCTAGAGACAGGTGAATCTCTGTGAATTGGAGGCCAGCCTGGTCTATACAGTGAGTTCTAGGACAGCCAGAGCTATATTGTGAAACCCTATCTTGAAACAAAACAAAACAAAACCAAAACAAAACACTACAAGTCCAGGCACCGTTCAAATCCACTGGTGGAAACAATAAGTAGGTGGGTTCAAGCAAAGCAAGGGAGAGGGCATATTCCCGCTATTCTTGTCGGATGCTATATGATAACACTCTGTTTTTGTTAAGGAAACTGTTTTTGTTAAGGGATTTATCTGTTCAGTTAGAGAGAGGGACAGGCTAGGGATGGCTACTCAGAGGGCTAAAGGTAGCCTAAGAGAAATTATAATTATGTTCC